TTTGTATCCCATAACCTATCATTTCAAATACCCACCTAACCATTCTTCCTTTTATCTAGTTATGCTAAAATCTATCCATCTAAATAACTGCTCAGCTGACCATCTTTCCATGTATCTAATCACCTATACATCCAGCCATTTATCCATTTAAATGTTCACCCATACATCCAAACATACATGCATCCATACATCCATCTAAACATACATCCATATAAACATGCATCCATACATCCACCTAAACATTCAGCCAGATGCCCATCATTCCATTCATCTACACATTGATCCATTGAAACATCCATTCACCCAAACATCCAAATACCCAGCTACCCATCTATGCATTTGTTGATCCAAACACCCACTCTTCTATCCAAACACACACACACACATACATCCAAACACCTACCTACTCACCCATCTATCCAGTCAAAATTCATCCATCTATTTATCCAAAGTTCTATTAACCTACTCACCCGTTCCTTCAAATATTATCCATCCATACTCAGTGATCTATCACAGAAACAAAGAACAGAGTATCATATGCATAAGTGGACCTTGAACAATTATAATATGATAAGAAAGGGATTGGATGTAGTGGGAAACTGTCAGGGGAGGGGGATGGGATTGACAGTTGAGGGAAACTGCTAGGGGAGGAAGTGGCATACCTCATCAACAAGGGTACCTACATAATCAACGTTTGTATACCTAACTCTGAATTGTATCTCACATCTTTATAATAAAACACAAAAATAAAAACAAATTATCCATCCAAACAGCTTACAAAATACATACAATAAGATTTTCAAAGGAATAAGATGTTAGAACAAAGAAAAATAAATGAAAGTTGAAGAATAGATAAAGCTGGTGACAATATACAGAAATATATTTGGTAATTGCAGCACAATGACAAAAGGTGGGTTCTGAGCTTCCTAAAAGCCAAAGTAAAGAAATGCAAGCCGTTACAGCATCATTGCTTCCATAAAATGCAGTCAAACAGCTGTCTTAATGGGAATATGTCTCTTCTCCTGTGAGAAAGAGAATGAGGAACAGGGTGAATCACAATATTTCTTCTCCTAATTAGAATAAAATCATATAGTTCAATTTTCTTGGCATAGTTCCAGTTTATGCCTGTTGTCTGGGTATAATTATTCACAGCAATCTTTTCATTATTGAAATGATAAACTATCTGGTCACCATACAATAAGGCATTATAAAGATATGGCTGAATAGTCAATAAAACTCCAGCCATTTCCTCCCTTTGACTCCCCACAGTGGGATGGGGAGTGCAAGATGTTTGCTGCTCGAATCTCTTGCCTTAACCTGTCCCCAAAGAGCTCCCCCAGATCTGAGCATCTCTTAGAACCATCAGTTCCTCTTCATTCCCCAGGCCGGCCATGCTCTCCAGGCTTCTGTGATAGCTAGCTTTACCTCCCCAATGCCCTGGATGGAGGCATCCACTCATAAACCAAACCTTCCCTGATTTTCTGTTTGTGCCTTAGATTTTTTTTTTAAACCATGTGAGTCTTCTTCTTTAATACACAAGTGATAAACACACAAACCAGTTTAAAAAAATCCCTGCCACAAGTGGATTTTTTTTTTCTTTTTGAGTTGGAGTCTCACTTTGTCGCCCAGGCTGAAGTGCAGTGGCATGCTCATGGCCACCCCAGCATTGACCTGCTGGGCTCCAGTGATCCTTCTGTCTCAGCCTTCCAAGTAGCTGTAACTACAGGTGCATGCTACCACACCTGGCTAATTTTTTGATTTATTGTAGAGACAAGGTCTTACCAAGTTGCCTGGGCTGGTCTCAAACCCACAGGCTCGGGCATTCCACTCGCCTTGGCCTCCCAAAGTGCTGGGATTACAGGCTGAGCCACTGAGCCCGGCATGTGGATTTATTATTATAAAAACATATCCAGGAGTCACCACACCTGGAAGAGGCCCCACAGACCTCCAAGACACCCAGCAGGCTCAGACTACCTTTTTAAGTATGGTGAAAACCAGAGAATGG